CGCAAAGTAACACCTAGTTCAGTTAAAAAGTTTACTACTGTAATCTTCTGAAGGAAATAATAAAGCATATCTTTTTTATTACCTCTAAGTAAGTAAGTTTCTTAAATATTATTCTCTTTGTTAGCATTTTGTTACATAGAAAAACTGAGATGAAACAGCGTAGGTGAAGCTAATAACGTTGTAAATTTGTTGATATATGCTTCAGAACATCAAAGTGGAGTAACAAAACAAAAAGGTACAAAGTTTGGTAAAGTGCGGTCAAATCATAGCTCTCTTGGGAGGATAGTTTCATGAAAGTTTCCTATCGCATCATGGGCCCACCTCTACGTGTGTGTGGCTTTAGTGTTAGCGGTGCATTGCAATTAAATTTATTTTGCTCATTAGTTTTTATTTCTTATTAATTTGCTTTTAATCGACTAAAGAGCTTCAATTCATCTGTATGTTTTTCTTTATTGTCATCATCACAATCATCTATTGTCCACTGTTAGACATAGTTTTCACCCATATTACGCTACAAAGTACAATCCTGTGCTAATTGCATACAGCGACTCCCTGCAACGATCTCGAGATCGTAACTCGTTTTATCTTATTTTTGTTTATTTGTATAATTAATGTAATACGAAATCTTTGCTAATTGAATCTAGTTATACAAAAAATTAAATTAGGTACCTGGAATAGCCATAAAAGATGACCATTTTTTACATAATTGGCTTCAGTTATATTTGTATATCGACTGTTAATTATTTTTAGAATAAAAATAGCTTTGCGTTTACTACTAACTCTGTATTGATCTTATTTTTTTTTGCCTAAGTTATATTTTCGTTAAAAAAAAGTTAATTATAATTACTATAACTTAAACTACCATTATAAATTAAGTAATTTACTCTATTTAAGTTTATGCTAAAATACGTTGGCTGAATTGAATCTATACTACCTTTGATATTTCTTATTTAAAAAAGTTAGTCACTAGTAATACTGATAAAATCTTATTCAAAGGCACTTTACCGACCGATAATTTGTTTCAAGATTAACACGTAGTTAAAAGCTGGCGCTACTAATGATCTTTAATTTGACGGTTCCAAATTAGACACATCGCTACGAACGTGGGCGCAGGCGATTAATTTAAATAGTCAGATGAGACTTGCATTTGAAAAACCATATACATAGATTTCCTACTGATGAGTAACGGGAGTTGAGTAGCTAAAGTTATCTAATAGTTGATGTATAAGCTTGGTAGCTGTTTAATCAACAGTTAGGGAGCACCTGCATTTTTATAGTTGACGCTGAGTCAATTCAGCTTTGATGATACATTACCTATTCATTTGTTTCGAATCAATACTTATTGTTGATTTTAATTATTTAATAGAACATTATACGTTATTATTTTATGATTACGTAGGATTATAATAAAAAGAACGATATATCAATACTTTTAAATGTATCTATACATTAAAGAGTGGGAGATGGTGGATGCGTTATTTACCGCTTACAGTCACGTTGCATTTTTGTTTTACCATTCGATACGATCCTGATGTAGCCCTGCAATAAAAGTCTGGAGTAAGTTAGAATTGTAATACGCGTACATATTTATTTTGTTGGTATATTTCCTAAACACTCAGTTAAGTATAGCTTTTTTAACTTTTCTTATAATATATTTTATTAAATTTTGGATTTTATTATAGGTTATGTTATATGCATATATAAGGTTAAGCAACATAACAAACTACCTAACCTTCGTGTTTATATGTTTACGAATTTATATTATTTATATTTATATTCAGACTAAATTACGCCTGCGGCTTCGCTCATGTGTGGTTTTCCATTTCTTGTTCTATAAAATGTTACGTGTCTAGGTATCTTTTAAACGGACGAAATTTCATACGAACTTTGAACAATTATTTAAAAAAGTTTGTTCTTATTGTTCACCTAAGAGTATATCAAGAACCTGTCAGGAAAATTTGAAGATGCAGCAGTTTCGGCTGTACGTTGATCATCCTTTTTTATATTTACGTCTCAAATATATATATATATATATATATATATATATATATATATATATATATATATTGTCGGTACATCAAAAAAGGCATAATATCGCTGGTGTTACAGGCATTCATAGGCGCGATGACCGTTTACCATTAGACGGGCCGTATGTTTATTTACCACTATAGTCGTATAAAAAAAATTTTATTGGATCATCGTTCAAATATTTTCTTAAACTGAGGCAACCTACTATGACATACGTATGCTTATTTGCCATTTGAGTAATAAAGCTTTTTATATTTGCTTAATAATTTCCTGAGTAATTCATATTTAGATTTAACAGCTAGCAAATCGAAACGTGTTATTATCAGCATTTTCTTCTTCTTTTTCGTGTCGATAGTTAACAGTCAGATATTTTAATTCCTATTTATAAGTATAGTATTACATTATCTCTGCTCTATTAATTTAAAAGCATTATTTGAGATTCTTGGGCTGTTTAAGCAATTTCATAATATTTATTGACTATAATTTGATTTTAGTGTTAGTTGTTGTAAGGTCTATGTATGCCACTAATTAAATTATTTTTCTTTCTTTCTTTTATTCAGTTTAATCTAGGAGATCTTGACAAATATCGCAGTACTGTTTTACACATAGATATTTAATGTATTCATGTCTTTCTGCATCTTTATTATTCGAGTTATTTGAATATTTTTGCAGGTAAATGGATTTGGTTTTTGGTAAATTGGTATGCAGTTATTGTAATTGTCATAAAATTATTCACAATATATTTAGTAGGGCTTTATCATAACTTTGAATTTTGAATGTAAAATATTAGGATAGTCCCAGGGGTTCGTTGAGTTACCGAGAAAGATGCGGACGAAACTCATAACGTTATTTACATTTATACAACTCATTACCCTGAAATGTGTTCTTTGTTTGTATATACTAAGTACATTAATTAAAACAGTATTTTTAAAAAGATCATAACTAACTTCTGTTTTTTGTTCACAGGTATTGGTGAAAATTATTAAACATTAAACAGGGTGAGAAAGTTAGAAATTACGCAGCATACGATTTTGTAACCGTAGTGAAATAGAAAATAATTTACAAGAAAATAGAAGAATGAATTAATATTTAATTTGTAGCATAATTTCTTTTTATAAATATTCGTGTTTAAGATAATGAATTTAGCTTTCGTACATATAAAAATTAAGTATCAGACAATGTTCCATCATCGTTACATTTCTTTTTTTCATTTTCTGTGTTTGGAATCTTACAACGTCTTCAATATTCGTCAAATTGTAGATTGAACATCGGTTCAATGCTCTATGATATTAGTTAATATTAATACATAGTTTTTCAATCTAGTTTATTGATTTTTAGAGTTCTACATGAGATAATGTTTATTATATAGTCTCGTTATTGTGACCAGGTTTAGTTCAAATATTAATAACAATTTAAAGTAACAAAACATATGTAAATAAATTAATATATTTTTTTTTGTACTAAACAAACATATAGCAAACAAGTATACAGCCCGTCTGATGGTAAATGGTAACTGTAGCCTGCAACATTATGAGTATCACGTGCGTTTATGAAACCTTAATACACCTTTTTTGGGGAAGTCAATTTCTTTTTTAATATTTATATTGTCACAAGTAAAGTCTACATTCAAATAATATTTCAATATTGAAATGTTATTTAAGCTATACGTTCTTGCGCACTATTAAATATTTCATTGGAAGTTTTTGCAGGTATTTAAATGTTAATGTTTATGATAACTACATTATAACTACTTAAATATTTATCTTGGATCTTAGTATGTTCATTTACTGATTGTAACAAACCTGCTATAGAAGTGCTATATGACGGAGATGTGTCAGTTTCGAAACAGTATTTCGCAGGTCAATTTCATGAGCTTCTGTATTCACGCCGTTCTCAACTCTACACTTAACAAAACAAGGTTCAATTTTCCACAAACTATCGTTCAACTCATTACATCCGTCGCATTGGAAGCTAATTCATTTTGCATTTCTTTATTGTATGCAAACGAGGAGTTCTTTAACAAGATGACTTCATTAAGAACCGCTTTCTACAGTTCAATTTCATAGGAAGTGGGAAATTATATTTGCTGAGCATTTATATTTCAATAATATAGTTATTGCAGGAACTTTATTCAACTACATTGAGTCGTGCCAAGTGGTTGTCAGATTATTAAAGTCTGATATTTATGTAGGTACTCTCAAACATATTTTGCGCACAGTAAAAAACTCCGCTGGCATCTTGAAGTGGGCACTAGATAATTCTGAGGTGGGCACAGCCCATTAGCTCCTCTTAAATATGTCTATACTAGTCAAACATACAGTCCATTTGTTGGTAAACAGCTGTCAGCGTTTACGGACGCCTAAGGTTTTGGCTATCGCAAATTGTCACGTGCGCATTACAAAATAGGGGTCGGTCCCTTATAATTAAGATAATTCAGAAAATCCAATCACAAACCACGTTCATGTTATTTTTATTCTCATATACCTTACCTTTATTTCATTAATTCAGCTGAATAGTTATGATTAATCTTGTCCTTCTTTTATGTAGTCTATACACAGCATCGCATTATTTCCTATATAATTCCTCTCAGTATTTTACATTAACAACATCAGGACAAGATTATGTTAAGATAAATGATTGTAAAAAGGTACCTATTAATGCACCCTGTATGCAGTTATTATTAGCAAATGTAGCCGTATTTATTATTTCCTTTTTATTTAACATTAATTATTGTTGATACTAATAATCAATTTAAAAGAATATTGATTTATAAATCTTTAGAGTATCATTATAATAAATACAGTACATAATAAAAGTAAAAAATATAAGCAAAATTTAAAACGAGATTTAGTGTAATGGCGTAAACAAATGAAAGTATAGTTAATAATATTGATATTCATAAAATTGAACTCCGTTTTCTATGGAGAATAGTTGAAATGTAAAAATAATATTTTAATATTAGATCTCATGATAGACCGGTTTATGTTAAAAAATTACAATATAAAAATTCATTGTTTAAAAAGTTTAAAAACTTATACCATTTTACAATTTTATTTTAATAGTAAAGGTATATATACCTATAATATAAACTAATACACCATCAAAATAAATAAAAAAAATCGTGCATATTTTTTCAAATTCCTTGTAATCCTTGAAAAAGTTGTCCAATTTTATTACATTTTGACATGTCAAAGGCAAGATGGAATAGAAATAGAACTCTATAAACATAAAGCTGTACTTATGTAAATAAAAAAAAAAAAAACACGTCAATAGATCCCACAGCTAAAGGCAAGTGCACAACAATGCGGTCCCACCAAAAAGGAAGGTTGCAGTATTCTTGTGGTCTGTGGTTCTGCGGTCACATATCTGCTGCACTTTGCTCACAAGTTATTACTTCGGCGCCAATGCGGAAGGCATCAACCGTTTAAGGGTCGGTGTGCCATTCTTCTCGTTAGTTGTAAACGTGGCTCGGGCCTACCATAGCTAATCTTCCTCGCATTTCAATTCTGGGCAGGTTACAGTCTGCTTTTTGTTCATTTGTTACGATGTTGCGATTGACGGATGCGCTCCTTGATTATGTTAATATATTTTTTAAGGATAATACTTGTATTAATTTATTCAGTGTCAGATTTACAAGTAGTGCCATATTTAGACTTATTTAAGAAATGCATTCTTATATAGAATTGATATAGAATGGGTCACCCTTTTCTTTCTCATGGGTGTCGTAAGACGCGGCTTAAAGAACTTAATGGTCGAGGTGTCGGTAGTAGCGTTCCTTGCAAAACATTATCAAAGCCTAACTGTGGTTGCCAATCCGCCTGCCAAGCGTAGTAACTACTGACAAAACTTCCCTTAAGGGAAGGTCTATGTTCAGCAGTGGATAGTATGTCTAGGATAGTGAAAACTCGGAATAAAACATTATAACTAGCCATCTAGCCAGCGCGGTAAGGTTAGGCTAATAGTTTCTTATGGATAGGACTAGTTTCACAGTGAGATCATGGGTTCGTGAATTACCTGAATCATCTACTTTGAAATAAAAAATATTACAAGTGTGGACACACAGCACCCTAATTGCTGTTAATTCATTCCAGAAAATATAAAAATCTTCCTGGTTGACGTAAATAAAGCCAAGTTTCCAATAAAAACTAGTGTAGCACGTAGAATATTAAAAAGAGATAACTTGGCAACAATATAGCAATCCAGTTATTCATTATCGCAAACTATCGTCTCAGCTTTACGATACATACGTCACCTACGTATCACCTTAGAAAAAACGAAAACCCTATTTGAAAGTCACACCAAGAAAAAGTAGTGGAACAAGCGAACTAAACGCTAACGAGCTGTGCTGCTTAGCACTTCCCAGCGCTTTTTATGCTGACTGTTCACTTTGAGTAATAGGAGGTTTTATGTCCCAGTCTCATTTCACTAGAATTCAGTATTGGAAAATAAAGTGGCAATGAAAATTTCTATCTGGACGTTCGTGCGAGCGAAGTGTTTTTTGTTAAAGTAGACACCGACTCCATTTGTTTTATTTAGCTCTAAAATAATCATAAAATACAGATATAGAGTAACTAGAATGTGTATTCAAAATACTATTAATATTATTAACGTACGTTTTACGTTCGTTAATAATATTTACGTTATGCGTACGTTTGCCGGTGCAGGGTTGATATTCGAGAATCTTTCTTCCTCATCAGTTGTCAGTTCTTCGAGCTATGTGCCTTGCCAATTGCTACTTCAGTTTGCTTATCCTTTTGTAATAAATATAGTATAAGAGTAAATTCTTTAAATTAAGTGTGCAATGCCGTTGCTCCCGATAGTTGGAAGGCGCGTCGGCTGGCACCGGGGCGCTGGTATGCCCGGACGTGAACTTATCCCACCTAGCACGGCACCTTGCACACAACAGGTATACAGAGCACCGATTTAAATGATCCTCAGTCGCCGACGCAGGCGGTGACTGTCGATATCGGAGGATCAGATGCGTGAGCACTACTATATCGACGAGTTCGACGACACGACGGCACGAAAAACACGACAAATCCCGATGACACGACGACTCGACGATGACGATGGCTATTACTTCAATTATTCTATTAACTATTTTAAAACTGTATACTATCACTATTTACTCTATAATCGGGAGGTCGTCCGGAACATTAAGAAAGTACTTATAAAAATCGAGTCCGAAGTGGTAATGTGTTCATTAACATAATATATTATATTTAAAACTATACGCATTCGAAGTCAATTGGAGAACCAAAAATTGTATATAATCTCGTGATAGTAAGATCAATTAGTTTAACCAGTCATGAGAACCTCGCCTCTAGAACACATCCAGTATTAATTTTACAGCTACGATCGTAACAATAAAATGGTCGTATTGCCGCTCCCCGCTAGATGTCACCATTGGTATCTTGCTCAAAGTAGGGATCTACTTTGTAGAGAAAGTGTTTTATCACTGAATTAAAATGTAATCTTTTGTAACAGAGTTTCATTTGATCTCTTACCTTTTATTGTGCGCTTTCGGCTTTTATGGGATAAACTGACAGTTCTGTTACGCTTGTGTGGGATGAAAGTCGACGGTATTGTTGCCAGTCCATGGCCTTGTATTGTACTTTCGACATTCGAATGCTTTCGACTTTACCATAGATAAAAGCGTTTAAACCTGATAGTTAATTTTAAATCATTATTAAAATATATATTAGTATTTTATTAAAGCTTTTTTATTATCTTTTTATGGCCCTTTCTGTTTTTATATATCTTAAAGCAATAAAATAAGCCAATAAACCACAATGTTATTAATACGTTTCTATGAATATTTCACTTAAAGATAGTATTATGGACTAATTCGTATGTAAACGACATACGTAAATTGGTGTTCGCTATAAATCGTTGCAAATCCGCGGCGGGTTGTAATCTCACAATAAATTGAATATCTAGGATAAGTCTCGTGTCTAGTATATCGGCTGCGCAAATAGACAATTTATGCATAGACGTTATTCCTGACTCACGCGTGCTATTCGGACATCGAGCGGTAATAGATATGAACAATGTGTAATTTGTTACAAATGTGATATTTGTTTTAAATATGTCATTCGTTTTAAATGTGTCATTTATTTCTAATGTGTCATTTGTTTTAAGTATCTGATCATAGTGATGGTAAACTACCATGGGCTTGACTTTTCGTCCGGTTTACGACTATTTTAAGTTTAATATTTATATCTACTTCGAATCGTATTCATAGCTGGTTTCTTAGTCTGTTTTAGTACAAGCTTGATCAGAACTAAGTAACCGTAAATCTTGCAGGCTTAATAGCGGTGTAACACGCCAACAAAGTTCCTTATACTGAGATTTTATTATATATAATATTTCTTAAAGAAATGGTTTTGACATTGACGGCCCATTGTAAGTGCTACTGGTCTGTCAAATACAGCTTTGGTAATTTTCTGCGAATTTCCATGATGTTATTTAGATATTTACTTGTACATTGTCAGCGTAAATGATAGCAAATGTACGTAAACGTAAAATGTTTCTCAGTTTCAGACTTAGAACGTTGCGCTACTAATATACAATGTAACACAATACTATGAAATGTTGTGTATTACAAATGGTGGCAAAGATTCAAGTATCAAATTTCTTTTTTAGGCACGATATAATTAGTAACAAACATTTAAACATCCTATGTTTAGCAATAGCTGAGATTGATTGTAATTGAGATTGATGATGATTTGAACATCCAAACATCAATATAAATTTTAACTTTTAATAGTATATTTGCTGATCCAACAGACGTTGTACTATTCAATTTCCATTTTTTCTTTCGCTGTAATTCTCAATAAAATAAAAATATAAAAAAAAATTAGCTAAATCCAACTATTTTAAAGTGATGTACTTACCAACGATCAGCATTTGATTTTTATTTATATACTTACACTCAACATTCGAGCACACCAACATCAACAACGGTTTATCTACTACTAGCTTTTTCCCGCAACTTCGTCCGTGTGACCATGACATGTTTAATTACTTGGATAAAAAGTAGCATATATAATTTTCCATCCCACCTAGTACGTACGTGTACACTAAATTTTATAATGATTAGTTAAGGATCTATAAAGTAAAAAAACAAACATACAAACTCACTTCCACATAATATTGGTAAGGATATTAGCCCCCCTATATGTATGAGTATATAGTTACTAGCTTTTGCCCGTGACTTCGTATGCGTGGACTTTAGAAGTATTACTCCCTTAATGCTTGAATTTTTAATATTTCATTCTTATTGTTTACCCACACCCACATTAAAAGACCCTCTCTACCAAATTTCAAGATTCTAGATTCAGCAGTTTTGGCTGTACGTTGATATATGAGTCATTCAGTTCAGAGAGGATAGGGAGTGAAATTAATAACGCAGTCGAAACTGTCTCTCTGTCCGAAATCGATCAGGATTCATAATATCATATCATATATATGTATATACTTGTAATATGGATTATAAAATATTAATGTAGTATAACTTTCAGTGCATCACTAGCTTTCTCCTAAGTGCTACATTATCGATCTGTGTGAGTTTGACTCTCTAGTAACACTATGCACAAAGTAATTAATCCACTTCGGCACGGTTACACCCCCCTCGATTAATTAGAGTAAAAGTCAAACTGGTCGTAGAAATCCCTCGCCGCGCCCTTGCATTTAATCTTTCTTATCTAAGTCTAATATTAGATAAAAAAAAAAAAAAAAAAAACTATGTTATCTTATAAAGTTTCAATGAGACATCTTATTGAATAAAGGAGTAGATAAAGATATGATTTATTTAATATTATATAATTCGTAGTAAATAAATACTCTTCACTTCTCAAACGTTGACCGTTGAATCAACACTTTTTTGTTACTGACTTTTTTATTTTATTTTTTTTATTTGTGACTAATCGGTTTTTATCTATGGTAGCAAATAAAAAAAAATCATATAGATATAGCTCATTCCAATAATTTTATAATCATTTTTTTGATCCTTCCAGTCAATAAAGAATGCCTTAAGCTTATCTTTTAAAGCATATTATATGATAAGCAGTATAATTCTAAAGAAAATAATTAAAGTTTAATTAAAAAGAAGTGGAATAGGACATGTGAATCACATGCCAACTGTGCCAAGCAATGGGTGTGTAAAAATCTGTAGGTATACTTGGTTCCTAAGAGAAGTCGTGGAAGAACTCGTACACGATGAAGATATAACCTCAACCTGTTACACAAAGACTGGTACGCCCTGACCAGCAACCGTGGGAGATGGTAACAGTTAGCGGCACCTTTGTCCAGCAGTGTAATATCACAGGCTATGACTGAGTGATTTAAAAATAAGTAAAAAAATTTAGGAAGGTAGTTAAGTATTTGTCTTGGATGTTGACTGTGGATGCGATTAAGGGAACTTAATGGTCTAGGGATAGGCAGCAGTGGCCCTTTTTAAACGTCAACAAAGCCTAACCGCGGTTGCTAACCCGCCTACCAAGCGTGGCAACTACGCACAAAACTCTCCCAATAGGAGGAGATCTACATTCATCAGTGGACAGTTAACGGCTGATATGACGACGATGATGATAAGGTAAATATTATGTTAAATGCAGGAATGTGACAAAAATTGCTGATAAAGTAAACCGTGTTATTACTAGAAGAAGTACTGCAGCACTACCTTAATGCAGCTTGTAACACATTCAATAACTCAATGAATGTCTCGTTAACATAAATGTGCATCTAAACGTTGCTTTCCCGTAGTAAAGATTACAGAATTACGCATTCAAGAAAGCTGTTAAGAGCTCGCCTCTTTGTACTAAAGAGATGTAGCAATATTCTAAAGAGAAAATATTATATGTTTATTTAAATAATGTTAACTATTCACCAACTCTGTACAGCGTTTTTTTTACTTTTAATTTATTTATGTATCTGTATAAAATTTTAATTTTTTACAGATACATAAATAAATTAATTTTTTTTTAACAATAGATGGCTTTGTAAATTCATTATTTTACCCTTTGAAGTGTAGATTTATTAAATAATTTCCAATAACATGGATTTCACCCCCATACTTTAGAGCCTGGATGGTCGTGTACAGCGCGGTTTCAGAGATGTTTCCTCCCACAAATGCTCAGATTCATCAGGTCAGATCAGGTTTTTCCAAGAGACTACAACATGAGGGTCTGCGAAAAGGTATACAGAGGTTCCTTCAGGATCAGTAACGTACGCCCTGGTATTGTTTGCCACCTCAGTGATATAAAAAAAATCTTTAATATTAATCCACCCATAGCCTGAGATATATGCTAATGTACCCTGGTGTTATAAGAAGGCGACCAAGAATCGAACGCGATACTTTATTTACAAAAAGCAACACCCATATCACTGCGCAAAATAAACACTAAAATATATATTTTACAAAACATATAGAATTAACTATAACCTTATAAACTAGGCAAGGAGAGAGTTACAAGTTGTAGTTTCGTGATGGCTGTATAAATGTCATTTATTAGTTTTCAATTTTAAATGAAATCTCAAAAGAGTACAAAGTCGTTCGTTTGACACCGTCTGGATTCCACCGCGATGATTGATCGATGCGCTTGAATTAAGCCAATTATTGGGAAAATCTTGTTATCTGAAAGTTTGTTCGTAGCCCGTATAGAAAGTCAGTTATGTAGAATAGCGTCGATTATGCTCTAGGTGCAGGAATCCAGTGTCGATGTCGTTGGGCATCCGTCTACAAATCACTTACTTTAATTGAGTACAGAGTACTGAATGTTGGTGACTCGCGCGCAGAGCACGCGATAGTACTAGATACGGCAATAGGCAATGCAAGTCAGGCCTCATGGTAAATTGTCAACGATTTAGTGAAATTACTAGGTAACTCTAGACACCATCGACGTCAACGTTTCACCAGAGAGATAATACAGGAAAGAAAAGATATGTAATCTTTTTGATATTTATTTTTCTATATTTCTTTTTTATCGTTAATAAGGTAAACGAGCAGATGGAAATGCTTGATGAATAGCAACTACCGTCGTCCTTAAACGTCTGCAATACAAAAGGAGTTGCTTGCGCGTTGCCGGCCTTTAAAATTAATAATAAATAAATAATATTTAGAATAACAACAACCTTAAACGTAGTAATTACTAAATGGTTTAAAATTTAGATATCCTAAGTCAATAACAGTTAACCACACATATTACAAGTGGGTATTAAAATTAGTTGGCACAGATAATCTTCAGAGCGAGGTGTTGTAAAAAAAGAAAAGAAAATGTTAAGTGTTTAAATAAAATATATTGATGAGTAAAGAAATGTGTGCATATGTATGTATATGTATATGAGTATCAGTGTGTGATTGTGTTGTCTACATAAAATAGTCATAGGAAATATGATTATCATTTCATTTTTTAGAAAAAAAAGTTAGGTACTTTTTAACGCAATTGTGATTAAAGCAAACAATGGGCGAGGTTTCAATCCTCACCTTTGATAGAATTCGGCCCCTTCTATCAGTTAGGTAAATGGACTACCGTTTCATTAGATACACGTCTCGGAATTTTCACACATGGCGCCACTTCGGGAACACATTACTTAATCTACCCGCGACAGTTAGACTATCCAATGAACCACAATAACCAGTTTCAACTCGTAACTTGTATGACGATGACAAACGGGTTTCAAATTCCGTGCGTTTCAAATGTTTTCAATTCTTAAAAAAATATATTTTATTTTTATAAACACTTGGACAATATTATATTTGCATTTCATAATTTAAGTGTCTAGTTTTTAAAATTTCCTCAGTATGTGCCATTGTAAGAGAAAAAGTTAAAATATTAAGTTATTGTTAATTTTGGGAGGCCTCCAGTAAGCAGTAGTTTAATTGGTAAAAACAAAGCCTCGGCATGACGTGAAAGGTGCGAGTCCAAGTTCCGTCCAATTAAAATTTTTTTAATCACTCAACAATTATTGGTATATGATTTTCATATTTTACATTCATAATTTCTTTACATATTTAATTTCTTTGTACGTGTGATTTTCCTTACAATATCTATCAGACGAAAATCTTTAACAAAAACCGACTCAATCAATTAGGATTACGATATGTTATCATCGTATATTTATAAAAAAAATAACACGTTATCGTACTTACATTTTTTCTTAGAATAAAATTGTTATGCTTGTGCTCCTTGAACCTCCTTTATTTCGCTTCCTAACCCTGGATGTCGAATCGTGACCACGACGAGAACAAAGGTATCCTATGTAGGAGGAATATTACTTTGACATCCAAAGAACATCATTTGTTTACGTGAATAAGCTGGCATAAGCACCGGAGTGTTAAGAATGAGTGAGAACTGTGCTTCCATTAAGTGTAAAACAGTCATTACATTCAATCAATCTGGACGTAGCCGTAATGTACCGTGCAGGTCGCATGACCTCAGTTCTAAGTCGGAAGAAAGTTACTTCACGCTTCATATTTCCAATGACATTAGTGAGAAATTTGTATATGTAACTTGGATGTTTCGGTTGTAATCAATTTTGCATAGAAACTATGTAACATGTTACGTTATATTTGTAAATAATTTTAATATTATTAATATGTTTCAATTTTAAGTATATTATTACTATTAAAATAGAATATGTATCTACTTATATGCAGGTGGCTCAGGACCGTTCCTTAAGGCAATCTATGGGGGAGGCTTATGTTTTTTTTTAATAGATGATAATGGAATGCACTAATGGTTATACACTAACAGGGCACTAGTGAAGGATGATAGGCGAGGATGCAAAGGCAGGTCAGTTAGCTCATCGTGACGAATTCAACGATAAATTAGTCACAATCGTTTCCAGGGAGAACCGCGTGGAGGTCGACCTAATAAGGTACATTGATAGCAGTGGGGACTAACCTCCCTATTACTAACAATCCCTTCACTCCTGGAAGGAACTGATCACCGATGGGGAAGAAAGATTCTTGAATGGTGACCCTGTACGGGCAAACGCAGTATAGGACGACCCTTCACTAGGTGAAGTGACGACCTCAAATGCATTGAAGAGCGTCAGTGGATGCAGGTGTCACAGGACTGTTCCGTTTATGGGAGAGACCTATGTTCACCAGTGGATAGATAACGTCTGATATGAAGTTAATGTACTTACCTACTTACGAAACAATAAATAATACACGGTACGTATAAAATACTTTATTGTTTACAATTATTAAGTAATTTAACTTGACTAGATTGTATAGTAAAAAAATAGATACTTTTTGTTGAATTTCTTTTTTTTTTTTTTTTTTACAACACAGGGGGCAAACGAGCATGCGGCTCACCTGATGGTAAGTGACTACCGCCGCCCATGATCACCCACAACACCAGCGGCATTGCAGGTGTGCTGCCGGCCTTTTAAAAAGGAATATACTCTTTTCTTGAAGGTTATGTTGTCGTATCGGAAATTGAATTTGGAATTTAATTCTTACATTTCCGCGTCACGTTTATTTATATTTACAAACTTTATTTATGTAAAGGGTTTTTTTTATACGAGATCGCTTGTGAATTTGCTTTTTCAATCGGTCATTAATTCTTTGAAATACGTGGCCAGTCCATTACTCCTTTAGTTTGTCTATTTTTTAATTACATCGATCGCCTTCATTCATTTTAGAAATTCTCATTCTAATTCTAAAATGGAACGAAACTTCGAACAACACTACATATTACATCAATAGATCACTGAGCGACTTGCAGCTACCTCATACAACAAGCAATATCTCATACATTTATGTGCATATTATTGACTGTAATCTAAAATTTAAAATTATGCCATATCAATCGTCTTTTATATGATAGTTAAAACATACCAGTTCCAGGATGCAACGACTTCCATCATTGTAGTGAGGGACAAGAGACAAGGCGACGTTTCGCTGCGTAGGCGCAGTTTACGGTCGCAGTATATAGTTGGCTATTTGTGAACATTGCAACGTTATACCCGGTTCGTCCTGCTTTATGTAATACATAAATTATGGATTCGTACAGTACTCAGTTGACGTAGACAACAAACATGGCTTGGAGAAATTATTATATAATTTTAGTTTTAATAAAAAAATAGTTATGTTACTTTTACGTATTTATAAGCAAGCTGAAGTGGCAATGGGTTTTTTTTTAATGGATGATAATGGAATGGTAACTCCACCCGCGCTATCGGTATTCACCGACGAGGCACCAGTGGAAGATGATAGATGAATACAGGTCAGTTGGCCCACCATGATGAATTCGACAAGAATTAACCATGATGGTTTCCAGGGGGAACCGCTTGGAGGTCGACCTGAGAGGGTATATTGCTAGCAATGGGGCTATAAAACCTCATTACTGACAATCCCTTTCCCCCCAATGGCATGAAGTTTATGTTCAGCAGTGGACAGTTTACGGCTGATATTGTATGGTACAGTATGTAGTTACTGTGATTTTTTTCCCATAAATTAGGATAAAAAGTGTTCGTTATGTTAATCTATAAAATAGTCCGTTTGTGTATCAAATTGTATTCACATTCGTTCTGCCATTGAAGCGTGAATAAATAGTGAATATATACGAATATTATTATAAAACATACTACAGAGAACAGTGATAAGAAGTGAAGAATATTGCAAAACTCTAAGAAGAAATACAAACAGTAACAAAGTAGCAATAAACAGAAAACAAGAGAGTTCGATGAACTTATCTTGTTGTCATGTAAATCGGTCTGGTTCAATCCGTCATATTTTTTTAAAGTGAAAATGTTTTTAAGTACTCGTTGAGAACTTTAAAACAAACACTCAATTCGCGTGAACATCACACTCAAATACACATATCCAGATGTATATTCATTATTTTCCATGAACAACGCAATAAGTGAATATTTTATTATTATATTAATACATACTTAAATATAAATAATTTCTAATAAAAAAATACTTTCTACATAATATTGCTTAACAACCTTAGTGTTTACAAGTTTGTGAAGCTAAGCCCTTTTCACGTCCAACGTGCAGTCTCACGACTGACTGGTTTTTTATATGTTACGATTTATATTACTTATTATTTATTATGGCTTTCAATTTCTTCTTATTAAAAAGCTATTAATCTATATAATTGCTTATTTCTGTTTAACTGACAGCGAATACATGATAGATTGGTCTTTTTCGTGATACGGCACGATATTGTACGATTTTCAACAAACTTTAAAAAAAAGTTTTATATTTATGTTTGTTACCTCATAACTCCGTCAGTTCTAAATCGATTATCGAAAATTATTTTTGTCTGAATTAAAATTGGTTTAGTAGTTTAGTTTTTAAATGAAAAGAACTGGTTTTGTCACAATTAAGTCGATTCTTTTGTGGGACACCATTTAAGTATATCAGAATGATAATGTTATTTGGAAACACTTAAAGAAATTTAAATAAATAAATTATATATAACATAATATAAATATATATAATATATTTATTATAATTTATATATATTTATATAAGCGTCACGGTACATTTGATTTGCTATTTTATCGGTATAATAAAACCATATGATATAGTGTTTGCTACGGTAAATTATAAAAGAGTTCATGGAAATAAATATTATAGGACAAATTTATTTTATTTATAATTCAATCTACAGATAAGTAAAGAATAGATTATCTGGTAACAGATAATATAGGTATCAATCTATTCCTAGAGGGAAAACAATATTTTATCCAAGAAATACGTTACTATTGAGCCAGCACTTCGGTTCTGATTAGCTGATACGTGGATTGTAACGATTTGTTACTATCGATCGAATGCGTTGGACGCCGACTAAACTGTGTTATTCCGGATTATCTTATCGGTTGTTTGAACCTGCCAATATCGGGATGCACTGGATAGATAAATAGGATTTGTACGATATTGCTAAAATATTGCATTTTGTTAGATATTATCATTATTAAAAGAAACAATGAATTGATTATTGTCAAACAAAAAGCATCAATGAAATTCATTATCCATAGAAATTGATACTGCATATAATGACATAAGCAATCACAATATTGTCTTAAAATTAAACTCGCTAAAATTTCATATGCAAGGTGAAATTGAAGCCGTTAATGGTGCGTAAAACTAAGAATTCACTCATGTATTAGGACATAAATTACGTGAATCAAAAGTTCAAAATCGACAAAAAATTTTGAGCCTCTTATACTAACTCGGTTAATTGTTGAACACGCTATGTTAATATAAAAAAAAAAAACTCAATATTTTAACCACCGACGTAAAACAGGAGTGTTATATGTTTAATAAGTTTAATAAGTGTTATAAGTTACGTGACTGTGTGTCTACTTGTAGCATCGTAGCTCCAAAAGGAATGGACTGATTATGATGCGGTTTCTGAAAGCTGACGTAATCGAGATGGTTCTTAGCTACAAATTATAAAAATCTGTTCAAGCGTTTCTGAAGTTACTTAAAATTTTTAATTTCATTTATTTTTGTTGATATTTAACACCTATTCCTGTGATGAAAATGTTCACTTTTGACGGTAGAAGACAAACAGTCTGATAGTCTAATATTACATTAGATTTACTAGTGAGTTATTATACTCTACTATATATTACTAATACTATATATTACTAATGGTCCCAAAGCAAGCACAGCTGGTAATATGGGTACTAGATAACTTTCAAACATATTTACATTTTTTTTTGTAAATATAAATCCATATTATGTATATAGATTTATCCATATTTTGTATACAAAGTAGATACTCAAACTAATAGAAATAGACAACCTCTTTCTATCTGGTTAAACTTTAGCTTGTTTCCCATCCCAAACTCCATAAAAAAACACATGGGTACAAATGTTTGCATTATGCGAGAATCAAACTCGTGTCAATCGACAGATGAAGCAGTTAACCACTACACCTCCAATCTATCTCTATACAAAATAAACATTTAGATATCTAAGTGAACCGATAGAATATCATCATCGATAAAGCGTTAAACACACGCGGGAAATCTGACAGCTGTCACCTGTCAAAGAAATATTGATATGGCTCCACTCGCTGTATGTCATCGATTACCGCGCACACTTCGGATACAGGCACTAAAATAATAATCTGAATTATGTTTTTAGACAAAACTAGGCCGAAGCTCGACTATTGTTAGATTTAATCATAATCAGGAGGAAAAGCAACCGCACATTCAATATAGTTGCTGCTCCTTCATGCTCGTAGGTACATAATGACTGAGAAGATAAAGAACATAACTGCTAAGAAGGTGCGAATTTTTTTTATATTAACAGAAATTAGTAGCAAACTGTAGAAATATGCAAGTACAGTAATTAGCAAGCGATGAGCTTAAAATACTCAAAGCTCAACGATATAAGCAAAGATAATGAATAACCTGAAATATACCAAACATGGTAATTTGAAATTTGGCCCAAATAAATTGTAATTTGGGGCAGAGTAAGGTTTTTTCTATCCAATATTGCATGTATGAACAATTTAAACAGCATATAAAGTTTATTCTGTACTAATTATGACAGAGTTGAGGTCTGTAGTCGATGGTTAATATTTTATTGATTTTATTAGGTGGCAAGATCGTCAGATTGCTTGTCATTCTAAATGTTATAAAAAAATAAACGAAAAATGTAACGTTTATTAAAAATTCAATACACGACTTCAGTTAAAAGTAAATACATATATTTGATGTGATGTCAGATTATATCAGAAATCTAGTCAATTGAAGAGTCCATAAACAAGATAGTACAATATTTGTTAAATATTGACATCAGATCAATGACCTCACTATGTGAAATAGCTACATTTTACGATTATATGCGATTATAATTAAAATAAGCACAGCAAGACATAATTCACTAAAGAAGTATTGTATTGAAATGCTTCGTTATATCTTAGGTTGGTGATCATATAAATTAATTAAAAAATTAATTAATTAATAATTACGAAATTAATACGGATTTGTGTAATGTATTTGTGATATCGTTGGACATATATAGGTGGTATAAGAGACTTTTTATAGACCTATTAAATATGTTTCTTACTTATATATTATATATATTTTCCTAGGTTACGTAGCCTCACTGATTCCGGACTAAACCAAAAAAAAAATTTACTTCCACAAAAATAAATACTTAAGATGAGGTAAATATGGAATTTAGGTTATAATTTATATAATATCTTGCATATCCAGGCACAACTACTTCTTTCTAAACAATAAACACACTCCTTTGTTACGTTTAATGACTTTATAATAAGACCACCTACAACTTTATACGCACGTGATAAATGAGTTTTTTTTACAGTCGGAAACAAAAGTAGATATGTCTCACACAATATTGGTTCTTATTGTAAAGCATCAAAGTTCAAGAGTGAACAAACCTTTGTAGGAGTCCGAGCTACGAAACAAAACATAATGGTCGTTTAACCTCTGATTGTTTCAATATGATAACCTACAACTACAACGTAGCTTAATAGATAATTAATTTGCTATTATTGAAATAATAATACATTCTATTAGTTCTACGTGTGTCTTTGCTTGGACTCGAGATGGTTGGTCGCTTTCAAATATGTACAGAAAAAAATAAACAAATGTGACTAAACCAGTTATTTTGATCTCAAAACTAACGTATTGAACTGTAATTCGGAATACGAAAATTGAGAAATTTGTTTTTTTTTATACTTGCTGTACATAGAATAGCCTAACCCTTCCTTTCTCGTGAGTGTCGTAAGAGGTAACTAAAGGAACTTAATGGTCGAAGGATGCGAAGCAGCGTGGCCTTAAAACATTACTAAGGCCTAACTGCGGTTGCCAATTCGCCTGCCAAGCGTGAAAACTACTGGCAATTTTTTTTATACAACTTAGAATCGCAAACAAGCTGACGGCCCATCTGATGGAAAGTGATAACCGTCACCTATAGACATGAGCAGTACCATGGACATAACAGAGTATACTGTTTCGCCCATGATACCCCC